AAGGCTTACTATTTTGTCAGATAGACAGCAAGGATTTGTGGATGGCGTTGAAGCATGTTTTCCTACCGCTTTCCGTGGATTTTGCATGCGCCACTTGAGTGATAGCTTCCGAAAGGAATTTAATAACACCTTGTTGTACAATCTTCTGTGGGAAGCAGCCAATTGTCTAACTATATTTGAATTTGAAGGTAAAGTTATGGAAACCGAAGAGGTATCACAAGAGGCTGCATTTTGGATTCAAAGAGTTCCACCTCGTCTGTGGGCCACTGCTTATTTTGAGGGGACAGGTTCATACATTTGACAGCAAGCATACTTGAAGCTTTAAACAATTGGATATTGGATGCATGGAATGCATTAGAAGGCAGCTAATGACTTGGTTCAATGAGCGCCGGGAAACCAGTATGCAGTGGACATCCATACTCGTTCCTTCAGCGGAGAGAAGTGTTGCAAAGGCTCTATAACATGCACGCACCTATCAGGTTCTTCGTGCCAACGAACCTGAGTTGAAGTCATATCTCACGAGGGAACTCATATAGTTGATATAAAGAAACCGTTGTTGTCTTTGTTGTGGTTGGTAGCTTTATGGCTTGCCCTGTGCACACGTCGTGGCAATGCTTCTATCCTGCAGGCAGAATGTGTATAGATTCACAGAAAGTTGTTTCACAGTTGCAACTTATCACAGGATGTACTCACAAACCATACATCCAATTCCTGATAAATCACTTTGGAAGGAGTTGTCTGAAGGAGATGCTAATGTTAGCCAAGCTCTTGAAGTTACAATAAACCCACCTAAATCACTCGCACCAAAGGATCCATATTGATAATCCATATTGCCGCTTCAGTTGCTACCACAGTTCCTGCGAAAATAACCAAAGTCAGCAGCTTATGTTGGAATTAAGGACCTGCAAAGCACCAATTGGAGTTAAGGACTGCAACCGGTATTTCGAACGCCATTGCTAGAAACAAAATGCCTACAGAGGACCCTGTAAAGGAATAATGAGAAATTCATCAACAACCAGACCAAACACTCTTGAGTGCTTTCCATCACAAAATTCAAGCAACTATGTGGCGATTTTGAACACATTACCAATGCCGTCACCGAAGCAAGCAATCAAAACATTCAGATACATATCAGTTCGAACCGGAGGAATAGAGATTGAGTTTAGAAAGAGCATACCCTGTATCACCAGTTCTTCGTGAAATTTCCCACTAGACGCACCAAACACGAACCCTTTTGGGCTGTTAATCCATCTTTTGGCCCAAGACGTTTGCTTTCCACACCTGCCAAACGCAAATCCGAAATTAGCAAAATCAATTGAAGAATATTCCCTAAAATAGAAGATGCTATTCAGATTCCAATCTCGAATTTGAATCACAGAATCAAAGATTGAATTGTCAACTAATTAGGTCATTACTGCAATCATTTGGAAAAGGAAAGTTTCCATTTGATTCATCTCAAAGCAGAAAGTGTCAATCAACCTTTAAAACTCCTAATCAATCCTTACACAAAAAATCTCAATCTAAAGCCTATATAAGAAGAGAAGGAAATCATGGAGAAAGAGGTGAAAAAACAGAGTTAGAGAGGAGAAATTATCATACGGAAGCGGCAGCTACCGCAAAAACCTAATTTTGTAACGAAAAAATGGAGTGAAGTGACTTATCTTAGTGAGCAAACAATCGCTTCCAACCGCCGCAAGCACCAACCGACGAAACAATCACCACCACACACCGTTTGCGCGAGTCCACCAACCACAATCAAATATCACCACCAGAATCCCCATCCACGTCAAAACCGATTACTGTCGCTGATACCTCACGATAATTTTCATTTTCTATTTGGTGAATGTTTTGACTTTGTTTGTGTTTGTTTTCAGGAGAAAGGACGAAGGCGTACGAACAAGAAGAAGATGGTTTAAGGAGAATCGATGGAGGATTTGAAGAGAAAGGGGGATGGCGATCGAGAGATGGAGGGCGAAAGGAACTCAGACGGTGGAGGGATTTGGAATTAGGATTAGGGTTCCTCCGTGATTTTCCTTTTTTTCCTGTTGTTTTTTCTGTTCGTGTATTATGTGGAAGTCCCCCTGCACACACAGCACAACACCAATCACCATTAAAATTGCAAATCACCGTTAATCACTCTCTAACCTTTACTAATTTTTTTTAAAAACTCATTTAACCCTTTTAATCAATCTTAATCAACCTAGGTAATCCCAAATTAACGTTTTTACTAATATTTCATTTTAATTAAATCAAGTTTATAATAAAACCATTTTCATAATTAATAATAAAAAATATTTTTTTTAACTATCTAATCTAATGAACCTTTTTTATGTAATATAATTTTATTTACTTAATAAGATCTCTTAAAAATAAATAAAATAATAATAATAAGTTTAATAATTAGCAACTTAACCTTGATCTAATTTTTGCTAAAGTAAAACCAATTCACACCACTTTTATCTAAAACTAATCCAATACGATTTCTCTAAAAAAAACAATCTCGCTAAAATATTTCCTCATAAATGTAAGTCAACTAAAGTTAGTCTATATCAAACACAACTTTTTCTCAAAATCAAACAATTCTACTTAAAACAATTCAACCAGTCGACTTAACTAATACAATTAATTTATCAATTCGTATAATCTGATTCAACTTCACCTAAAAATCAAATAAATAAATCAGTCTTAGTTCAAATCCTCCGCTTAAAAACAATCAACAACGTAAAATACAACCTCAATCATGCACACTCACGACACAATTCACCTTAGCGCTTTCATGCGTGTGTATGATTTACTTTTCCACAATTTATTTTACAGGCATTTAATATTATCAATTTATATTCACGCATTGCATTCCGTCCAAAGGAAGAATCTGCGCATGATCCCAATAATCGTGCATATGCATTCACATTTGCATCATTTCCCCATGATCCTTGATCCCATTCAAGTCGATCTTCTTAAGTTTAGGACCTACCCCTTAGGAAGGACCTTTTCTCTTACAACATTGAAATAAACACAAACAATCAACTCAAATCAAACAATATTCAAACACATTAGAGAAAGATGTTAATCATCTTAAGCGAGATAGAATCTCCACCCCACAACAATATAATCAATATCGTAGGAACTTTGCCTTAAGAGAGATAAATGTGTACCTCGTCGATCCCTATCCGAGTACGTAAGTCCTTTTCTTAAGACGATGCAAAGACTATTTTTCTACAACCTGTGGCGGTTACATTCCCCCTAAAATAATAACACGTCTCTTCTTCTAAAATCAATCAACCAACTACCCTAAACCCGTAGGAACTTTGACCACAGTCAAAGAACTCCTCAAACCCTTTAGGGGAACTACAAATACTCTGATTCCACTCCCGTAAGGATATGTAGGCATAAGATGCGACATCTTATCGAGTATACTTAGAAATAAACCCCTAGGTCTTTTATACCCTTAAGCAGATAAACCTTAGCAATAAAACAAACATTAAACAAGAGGTTCCTATAGAGTACTACAAAAACTTAGGATGTTAGCACCTTCCCTAAGTTTAACCGACCCCCGAACCTAAAACTCTCTAAACCTTGCATTTGCATTGCATTGTGGGTATTTCGATCTTTATCCCTTCCTTTCGACAAATCAAAGTTCGGTTGCAAAATGAATTAAAGATTCAAACTAATCAATAGTTTGGTATCCGATTTTCACCGTGACAAATCATACACGACTAAAATGTGAGAGATATTTTGTTCGAATTTTTTACACAAAAATTATCATAAGATTTTTCCACCGCATGAATAAACTCATCAATTAACTTAGTTACTTTTGAGTTGTTGCAACGGTTGTATGGCAACAAAAAATCCCAAATCCAATACATTGAAATTAGGAGAATTTGGTGGTTGATAGGTTAAACGAATGTCAAACCCACCATCAGAAGCTGATTTACGAAATTCTTCATCATCTACAGAAACATGGCACAATGCATTATCTTGTTGTATGTAAATTGTTTCATGTGCATGGTCTCGTGGACATTTTTCTTTAATGGCCAACAAAATCTTATTTATTAAAAACATTCGACTAACTTCTTTAGTGATAAAAGAATTATGTTTTGTTTCAAGTGTTCTAGACGCTCTATTGACACTTGACCTTTTTGTTGGCCCTTAGGTGACTAGAGGAAACACACTGATTTTTCTTGAGAATGTCTCTTTACCGTCATCATCAAATCTTGGCCTAGCCACAATAACTAAAAACACGACCTTACCAATGTAGTTTTTGTTCTTACCTGTAGAATACAAATTATCCTCATCTGCGAAAAGATAATAGTTTTGTGACTTTTTAGATAGATAAAACCATTTTTCATCTATGTGGGCAATGTTATACATAAACTTAAATCTTGGATCATTAGGAATGCTACCCTCATCAAGCATAGACAAGAAAAATTCAAGAGGAGCTTTCATATTACCAATTGTCATGTGTGGCTTTAGGATATTCAAATGTCGACGTAAAACCACTTATTTACATATTACACCAATGTTATCTTGCTTTTAATGCCTAAAGCATACTATAAAGATCGAAGGGTGTCACACTTAACATCCTACATTTTTTCAAAATCTATTTAAATTCTTTTTCGACCATAATTTTTTGTTTTCTTATGACATGCATCACTTGTTTTTTTTTTGTCTCCAAATTCGATAAATGATGTCTATAGAGACTGAATAATATGACTTAACCCTTTTGATAAGCATGTTATTAAGTGTTCAATGATTGCTTAATTTCATCAATAAGTCAGAAATAAGTTGTCGTTGAATATTGTCTAAAAGCAAACGTTTTTTTAAATTGGTTGTGCCTCATTGCCAACATTTACTTTTGCATGATTTGAAAAAAAGATAATTTAAATAAATAAAAATACTTATAGCACAAATATAACAATAAATTAAGATACATTAGTTACAATAATAGGAAAACAGGTTGAACAACCAAAAGTTCTAATCAATTGTGTTCAAAATCAATATTATATTAACATACAATTACCTTCACTTAATGAATCAATATCTTCATTTTCTCCATTGCTTCCATTGTTTGTATACATATTTCCAACATCATCTTCAAAAAGATCATTAACATTATTATCCGTATTATTAAACGTAAAGACATCATCAACCTCATTTTGAGACTCTTCTTTATGTGGAGGGCGCGTATTCAAATCGAAAACATCTTCTAAGAAAAAACGCACATTTAAATTGATGGGTGTTGGTGCTCTATTTTTGTTTTTTGTTAATACATCATTTTTTTTTAGTGACAACATACCATCATAATTATTGAAAGGTTCATTCAAATCAATATTCAAAGTCATTTTAAATAATTACAAAGTCTCGATACTAGTTAAAGTGTGTGAATAAAATGGTGAAACTGTTGCTTGAATTTTTATATTAATATAAAAAGAGTGCTCCAAATAAATTGACGGTAAATTAAAAAATATTTTGGCAATATTTTAAAATTTGGTTCATTGTGAATTTTTTTTACAATGTAAAAGGAGTGCTCCAAAAAAATCTCGGTATACTAAATTGGCGGTAGAGTAATTTTTTTTGACAATTTGAAATATTGAAACAGTAGCATGCAAATAATAAGAAAAATATAAAACATTTTTATCTCCTTTCAATTAAAAAAAAGTTGAGTGTAACACACAAATTGAAAACAAACTGTTCATTATGTATTAGAATGTGATAATTAATAGTTTTAACAAAAACTTAATTCTAAAATAGCATTATTAAATTAAATAATAATTGATCTGACCTGATAAGAAGGAAGTCACTGACCTGCCACACGCCGTTGATCTGCCGCCTGTTCAGCGGAGGTATGGAAGAGGAGGGGGTGTACCTGCAAGACACTTTAATGCCAAAGTAAGTAATGGACCAGAGTGAGAGCAAATACATAAGAGAGATAGAAAATTGAATATCTGACCCTCTTGCGAAAAATGGGGTATTTATAGAGAGACCCTAGCACAGGGACAACGGTCACTTGTGTTGGGCTGGATTGTCAGGCCCAACCCAGGTGACTGTTAGGGCTTACGTGGTGTAGTGAAGACCAGCACGTGGTCTTCGCCCTAGTTTAACCGTCCTGTGATCTCTGGAAGGTGGATTGACCAACTCTTGCAGAGGTGGGTAGTTGGATGAGGACGTGTCCCCGCGGAGGGGAGCAGGTGAAGAACATGTGGAGGACACGTTGTTCTTCCTGACAGGGAGGAAGCTCCTGCCCGACGGTTGAGGTGCTCCGCTTGGAGAGGGCAGCCTCTGGTCGACAGAGGTCCTGTCCTCGACGCCGCCCTGTTGGGTTGGTTGGGGCCTTCCCCGTGTACAGTTGGGTTGGGCTTGTCTGGACAAACCTGGGCCCAGTCTAGAACATGAGCCACCCAAGTTGTAGCTCCAACGTGAAGGAGCGAGGACTTAATGATGTTGCACTGAGGAGGGAGAGTGCGCGGGGAGAGGTTCTGCCTACTTGTGTCTCGTAAGAATGTGTGGGTGTGAACATCTACGCGTTGTCGGGCATTTCACGTGTTGGACAGGACCGCGGACCGGGGAGGACGAAGGGACACGATTGGTTTCCTATGCCACATGTCAGGCGTTTGATATGCCATGTGGGGCGGCTACCCTAGGGCACTTGAGTGTATAGGGACGCTTCGAGTCCCGCGCTGAGGGTATAAGTACGTGAGACCCTGCTCCTTCGTCATTTTCGCTTCTGCTCTCTTTCTAACGTGACGTTTGACTTATCTGCATCCGTTTGTTAACATCACCGCAACTACCACCGCGTACTCCGCCATTACCAGTAATCCAGTAAGTTCCCTTTTTTTCCTTTCTTTAAGTCGTATGTTAAAGTTAGAGTCGGGGTGTGTTGAGTTCCCCGATGAGGGAGATGGATCTCCGCCGTGATAGGCGGTGGTTTTCTAGCTTTTGGATGAATGTGTCGAGGAGGCGCGATGGGGTAGTTTGAACTTTCGGGGACAGGTGTTAACTTTAGATGAATGCCCCGGGGACGGACGTTAGGGTTAGATGAATGCCCCAGGGATGATCAGGTGTATGGGATGAATCCCCCGAGGACGCATGATAGGGATTAGATGGACGCCCCCGGGGGCGTGTGCTATGGTCAGGCGTGTCTCCCGGGGACGATGGGAGGTATAGGATGAATCCCCCGAGGAAGGCTGGCCGGATGGCTTTTACTATCATCGCGAATGTTGTCCCCGTCACCCTTTCACTTGGCCTACGGTGGAAGGGTGAATTTGATCTTGGGCATCGAATTCACCGTTTCCTTCTACTTTTTAGGTGATCATGACTTCGTGGGTCCCGGGGGCCATGAACGTAGACAAAGAGGCAGAAGTTCCTACTGTCGTGGATAGAGTTCGTCCAGTCGAGGAATGGGTGGCAGAGGAGCCTTTAGCGACGTCCTCGTATTTTACAGACGAGCAGATCGGCGCTTTCGCCACTGTGGAGGACAGGACCGCGGACGGGCCCCAGAACTGGCAGGTGTACCGTCAATGTGAACAACACCGCATTTGCTCAGCGTTCGGAAAAATGTGGTTCCCTATGTATAATTTTGTTTTCGGGAGGTCGGGCTCAGGCTACCTTTCACGGACTTTCAGTTGGGGATATTCAATTGGTTGAGGTTAGCTCCCTTGCAACTGCACCCCAATGCTGTAGCATTCATCCGAGCATTCGAGCTCGTTTGTAGGTACCTGGAGGTAGGACCTACGCTCCCGCTTTTCTTCCGCCTTTTTCATCTGCAGAGGCAAACAGTGAATGGTCGACATGGATGGGTCTCGCTGAAGCAACCGAGGAAGCTCTTTCGGACTTATATGGACTCTATCCGGGATTTCAAAGCACGCCTCTTGTAACACTTCACTTCCCAAATTAAATAAAATGCGAATAAATCAATTAAATTATCAGAGTTTCTCTTCCAAAAGTGGGATATTACTTTTCACCAGAAATTCGACAAAAACATTTTATCAAAAGATTTTCAAAATAAGCAGCGGAAGAAAAATTATTTAGTCATACATATATATATATATATATATATATATATATATATATATATATATATATATATATATATATATATATATATATATATATATATATATATATATATATATATATATATATATATATATATATATATATATATATATATATATATATATATATATATATATATATATATATATATATATATATATATATATATATATATATATATATATATATATATATATATATATATATATATATATATATATATATATATATATATATATATATATATATATATATATATATATATATATATATATATATATATATATACACGCATCATCTCATACATCAAGTTCGGTCATCAGCCCAAAATATACAAAACATCATCAATAGAATCCATCATCAAAACATGATACGACATGGAGTATAAACAAAATCATCAGATAAGCAATAAACTCCCCAAAGCCCCATGTTATGTATCAGAGCATCCTAGACTCGATCAACATACCGCTATCCAACTAGCTAAACACCTGGATTATCTGTACTTCCGAAGAAGCACAGACCACAACAACAACAAAGGGGTGAGAAAACATGATCGAAATATAACGGTAAATATTTACATGAAATAAAGGCAGTAAATAAATACATCATCACCCCACAAATTATCATACACGACCTACTGTCCAATCATCAATCACAACATACAATAATGCACAAATGCAACTCAACACATGCATGTGGTACCGACTTAAACTCAGGATAGATCGCATACACTCCATCCGAGCAACGATCTATCCCTACCACGCTCCTCATGAGCCCATATAATCAAATCTCAGGATAGATCGCATACACTCCATCCAAGCAACGATCTATCCCTACCACGATTACGGGTGAATCGCATACACTCCATCCGAGCAACGATTCAACTCTGCAATCGCCGATGGACACTTGGCCATCAACTCTCCTCAAGGGAGCAACACGATCCTACTGATCCCATCATGCATCATGCTTAGCATACACCAACATCAAGCACACTAGGTGCACACGATCCTACTGATCCATCATCATACACACAACCATCAAGCAAACAAGGTGCACACGATCCTATTGATCCATCATCATACATCGCATATATATATATATATATATATATATATATATATATATATATATATATATATATATCACACAATCAATCGAATTAATCACATTAGACATCGGCAAAACAACCCTATAACACTCAACATACACCCAACATCCTTGCACTATCTCTGTACATCAAACAGATCACAATCATCAACATCAGATGAACACATCTCAAATAAAATAATATCCTGCTACGTTCTCTACCTTGCTCACTACGCAAGCTCCTAGCGAACGCTCGCTACATGTTCGCCTAGCGAACCTGCTCGCGAATCACACTTCTGAGCTACTGGAAGTGTTCGCTACCACCTCGCTGGGACTTCGCCTCGCGAATCCTTCGCTACACCACTCGCCTAGCGAACCTGCCAACGAGTACAGAAAAATGGCCACTGGAATGGCTCGCGACCTAGCTCACCTAGCGAATGCTCGCTACTCACTCGCCTATCGATGAGCTAGCGAGTGTCTGTGATTTCAAAAAAATCCCACTGTGCAGAATCTCAATAGCAGCTCAAAACTCAACAAATTCTCTCTAGATCAGTACCAACAACCTCAACTTAGCATTCTACATAAATTATACCCAACTAATTCTAAAATCATCCGATAGAACATCAGCTTCTACCGATTAATCCACTTTCGGCTTAAAAGCTTAATTTACTCCGAAATATCCAATTCACCCAAACAATTATCAAACATTACATGCAATGATTCCACCATGAACAAAAAAAAATCAGAAACTTAATCAACCACATGCAATCATCATCATGCAATTCATCATCATCAAAACCTATGGGGTTAAGGACTCCCCAACTACCCTTATTCATGCATTACCAATTTCTCATCTATTTTCTCCCCCCTTACCTCAATAAGCAGCTTGATCGGTGATAATCCGCAAATTCCAACAACTTGATCTTCTTCCTCCTCTTGCTCAAGCTTGCTTCACTTTACCGTGTCCTTGCTTCTCCTTCCTTTGATCGTGCTTCTTTTTCTTCAATTCTTTCTAAATGCCACTCTCGCCCTTAACCCCAAATAATAAAGAAAATCGTATTTTCTTGTATTCCAAATGAATTCCAATAATATAAATCCTCATAATATTAATATCCATAATAATAATAATAATAACAATAATAATAATGTTAACATTACTATTAATTATTAATTTATTATCATTATCATTTATAATATATTA